TCGTCGTGATTATCGAGACGTAGAGATCGCTTGACTTGCTTGTCACCGCCAGCTATCGCATAAGACAAGAGTCCAACTTCCGAGTTCTCCTTCACTACGCCTGTCGTGCCGGCATCGATAGCAGCCGAGATAGCGGCGTAGCTTGACAAATAACCAATCACTACAAATAGAAGTAAGACTCGCATACTGGACTGTGGGCTGGAGAGCGTGTTAGCTCAGGAGAGCAAATTGCAGAGTGAGAGGGTGAGAGGGAGCGGCTAACGGACAACAAGTATTAATAGTTACCGCTGAACCAGTGCTTCATAGAACAGTGTTGATTATGGTTCAAGACATCGCGATCAATACAGAAAAGATCCATTAACATTGAATCGACCGTGTTAACAGCAGTTTTGGCACTGTGAATCTTGCTTTGTCGTGTTGATTGAACGGCCTCTCTACATAATAGTATGGCGGTCTGTCTAGGATATTACGAAATGGCATACCGTCAACAGGCCAGTCGTGATTCACGGCGATTGATGATCACAGTTCAGATGTGCTTCGCAGCGTTGAGATGTGAGCAACAGGTGATGCATGTGTCGTTTAATCTGCCCAATTCAAACTACAGGGTACACGACGAAGGTGTATATATGTAAGTCCCCGTAAAACAAACAGGTTACGTGTTGCAAACACTGGAACTATTGCATACTCGGTGCAAAGATAGTTTTCATATCCAACTACAACTAAATACTGAAGTAGAGTACGCAATATTGATTTCAATTAATATTGCACAACGGTGGCGAATGACCAAGGTCGCAAGTGTGCAGAACTTAGCACACTCCAGCGGTCCTTGTACTATTCTGAATATGTAATACATGCCATTTACTTCGAAGTACTCAATGTTGTACTGTCTATTCGTGTATTAGAGCCGAACGTTCTGTGCTACATCGAAGTACTTTGGTACATATAATAATACATACATACATGCATACTTAATAAACATAAGCACTGCAACTTAATATCGAAAAAGGAGGGAAAAAAATGGATTGGTACTCACAATCTGGCAGGGATAGGTGCCATGCAATCACGACCAACAAATATAATAGTATGCTTCAGAGGCGTTGGCCGAGGAGGGCAACAACTGATGAAACCATGGTGAAAAAAAGAAAATTCACCTGACGCAGATGATCTGCCAAACCTACTGTTATCATTTCAAGATCTATCGACTAAATGCGTCACAGTTGCCCAATGTGCGAGCGAAATCCGTTGCAACACAAATAATAATTACGGATCCGTTACTGACCTATGCCAAAGCATTCCACTGAATGTTGCAAACGCTTGAATACAACATATGAGGTACACGAGTCCACTTTATACACCGGATAGGTCCGCTGCGGACCCACAATTCATCTCTGATATAACTCTTTTAATACTAGTAAACACTCTTATCTTCTTCGACAAACAGCTAGCCCCAACGACATTCATTGTAGATTTTAAGGACAATAATTATTGGGGTTATCGAGGAGGAGTTCTGTAGCCTATGTAGACTGCTTGAACGGCGAGTCGCCATTGGCGCATACTGACGTCAGTGCTTCACAAGCGTTTTGACATATCTCGGTGTTTTTCACTGAATTATGGTAATTCCTCCACAGCTATGCCTGCCGGACTTTTGTGTCGGGGAAATTCGCGACTATTAATACAATGACCTTGTCGATTCGATGAGGATGATCACCTCTAAATTCAAAATGAGTGGTTTACAGACAAATTCTTAAAGATGCATGGAAGCGATCACTTTTTGTATGCGGTTATTAATCGAGCGTCGCGCAGTTTCGCTATCAACTGCTTTCCTATCTCAAACGGGAACCATATTTTGCAGTAATGTTTCCACCATCACTCCGATTGCTGGTTCGCTCTATCTTGCATCTCTGCATAAACAGCGTCAATGACATCGGTTCTTCCAGCGGTCAGCAGCTCCGTGATATCTCCAGTGGATCCACCGTTTTGAATATCGCTAAGGAATCCTATAGCATTCGATACGCGAGCGTATGCTCCAGGCAATACACCACACACATCAGGGCCACTACTCACAACCCCTACGACCACATTGCGCACAAGAAGAGGCCCACCAGAGTCGCCACTGCAGGAGTCCTTTCCGTTCCCGTGACCAGCGCAAATAACCGAATCATCCACAGTCGATTCTTCGCCAGCGTCCGCGTACATTTTGGCACATTTCTTGTTCGTAATGATCTCGACATCCACTGCTTGGAGGGTCTCGCTGTCAGTCTCGTTGTTCACCAGGCCCCAGCCGAGGGTCGTAGCCATCATACCAGGCTTGTTGTCAGATCCATCTGCAGAAGCCAGACGCGCTGGCTGAATCTTGGATGGTGTCTCAAGTTTGAGTAATGCCACATCGTGCGTGAGGGTCGTCAAATCAGCCGACAATTGGTACAGTGGGTGGCGATAAGCCTCCACAGCACGTATCATTTCGGCCTTTTCAGATCCCCCACCTGACCGGTGTTTCGATCCGAGTGAAACGTACACGTCGTACATGGGCCAAATTAAGCAATGACCAGCGGTGAGGATATACTGAGGCGCGATCAATGTGCCACCGCAAAACAACTCACTGTCAGAGCCGTTAGAATGAAGGCTTGCAATG